AGTACTATGTTATCTTATCTTATCTTATCTTATCTTATCTTATCTTATCTTATCTTATCTTATCTTATCTTATCTTATCTTATCTTATCTTATCTTATCCATCGTCCTTACTTCTTCTCCTCCTTTTTGTGTTTATTACTCTCTTTCCTCACCTTTAAACTTCGTCTTTTATAGGACCTAATTCCGCTGCAATAACCATGAAATTCTCACTAAAACAAAACTTAAAATACAATTTTAAGCATATTTAAAAATCCAATACAAAAACAACTCCCCCTCCGAAAACAAAACGAAACAAAGCAACCAAACCTCCTTCCCAAAAAAATATTTAAAAAAAAAGAATTTACAAAACATTAAGAAAAAGAACAAAAAAAAAAACCCAACAAAAAAACAATCAAACAACAAAAAATCTAACACTCAAACCCTCAACCATTTTCCAAAAAGAGAGAGGCACTGACCAACATAGATAAGCCACTCGCAGTTGAGGTTGCTCTCATAGCGCCCGTCACCGTCAGCGTCTAGAGACCTGATCTGTCCACTCGGCTGTCTTAACACTCCGCCACATCCCTGAGCCGGACCTGGATGGATGGATGGATAGATGGATGGATGAAAGGACGGTTGAATGAAAGAATGAATGAATGAATGAATGAATAAATAAACAGATATACATGCATGCACAAACACGCACCAATATATCTCCCTCCAATAAAATAGCCTTGCAACTTCTCAAAGCCTCCCCCAACATCCCTTTCCCAACTACACACACACACACACACACACCCACTCACCGAAAGTCATAATAAGTAGCCCTGAAACCGTCCTCTTGCACTGACCAGTCCGTTCTGAACCTCATACTCACATACACATACACATACACACACAAACAAACACACACACACCCAAACCACACACACACACACACACACACACACACACAGACACACACATACAAACACACACACACACACAGTTAATCACCAAAAGTCTCACAATAAGTAGCCCTGAATCCATCTTCTTGCACTGACCAGTCGGTTCTGAATCTCTCTCTCTCTCTCTCTCTCTCTCTCTCTCTCTCTCTCTCTCTCTCTCTCTCTCTCTCTCTCTCTCTCACACACACACACACACAAAACACAGTTACTCACCGAAAGTCTCATAGTAAGTAGCCCTGAATCCGTCCTTTTGCACTGACCAGTCGGTTCTGAACCTGACAAACATATGGTTCCCCGTCGCCCGGATGCTCTCCGGCAGAGTGCTAGCGTCGCCACAGAAGCGGCCCAGGGAGGGAGAGGTGGCGTTGGGTCCGTCAAATACCTCCACGGAGTCAAAGCCACATCTAGAATGTCGCTCCAAGTCGAAGTGAGTAAATCTGAAGGCCAAAAAAAAATATTTGTGAGGCGTGCTGATAAAATGAGTTACTTCTCGCAGTCCACAAATGGAGATACATGTATTGGCTAAAAATTGACACTAGGGTCAAATTTTAGATTTTCTATTGATGCCATATTTCTTTAGGTATAACATACATTTTAGTTTATACTATAAATTGAAAAAACTTCACCTATAAGTGTGATGTATCTGATCTATTTCCTTAAGGCCTGAATCCGAGAAGTAACTTATTTTGTCAGCACGCTTCGCATTTTTTAATGATAAAGGTTTAACGCCTGTACCAACACTATTACCCTAAGCTTTTTTTTTGGGTCGCTTTTAATGACAAATTGGCTAACCCAGATTTCGGGGAGTTATCATAACATTTAATCTTGACCTACACCAAAAGTGGGCATTGCTGTTCCTATAGGAGAAGTTTGGTTTCATTGGAGTGTGTATATTTGTTTATTTATTGAGAAAACTCTCCTTGTGTTTTAAAGAAATTGAACAAGGGGCAAAAACGTTACCTTCGATATTCTCAAAACAGCATTTTTCGGGAAAGCCCCCTTGAGTTTAAAAGCGACCATTTGATACCCGGTCCCCATTGGTATGATCGGTTTGGTTTGGTTTGGTTTGCTAGCCAGACTGAGGGTGTAAAGCGTCTATCATGGCACAAACCAATCGCCCGGTATTTCGCCACAAAAACAATTTTCAAATATTTGTTAGTTTTCAGGCATTGAGTTGGGTGATCGGTTGGCCAATGGGCACGCTGAAAAAGAAGAGCCAGGTGTAATAGGAAAGGATGATATTATGTTTTAAAAAAGGTTTTACGGCGCTCACAACTGTATATGGTCATATGACCGCCAAGGGGTGGGTGTCAGCAGAGAAATCTTTACATGGAATAAGACTTACTCTGCTCCCCTCTCTAGCTTCAACAGCATAAAGTCTGTTTCGACTATCAAGGCACCCCGGAAATAGCGGGTCACAAGAGTGTGACAAACATACAGAACCACATCACCACCACCACCAACAACAACACCACCAACATCAACAACAACCATATCACCACCACCAACAACAACAACAGCAACCACACCACCACCATCACCACAACAACAACCACCACCAACAACAACCACACCACCATCACCACCAACAACAACCACACCACCACCACAAACAACAACGACCACATCAACACCACCACTACCAACAACAACAACAACCACACCACCACCATAACAGCAACAACACCACCACCACCACCACAACAACCACCAACAACAATAACCACACCACCACCACCACCACCACCACCAACAACAACAACAATAACAACCGCACCACCACCACCACATCATCACCAACAACAACATCAACAACA